AAAAAAAAAAAAGAAAAGAAAAGAACTAAAAACCACGAACAGTTCAGTGAGTATCTGTTAGACTAAAGTTGAATTTTTTTTTATTTGTTTTCAAATCTACATTCTAATTTGATATGATGTCTGCCGTCAGTAATTTTGATGCACAATAAATCATTCAAACAGTGTACAGCAAAATATGTGTTCAATTTCGAATATAAATATAAAAATTACTTTTCAATATTGGATATAAAAAGTTTTTCAAATAAGACAAAAAATTTCATTTAATTTTTTTTTTTGTTTAGACCATAAAAATGTGAATAATTTGCGAATAAAACAAGTCTAAACCTTAAATTTGGTTACAGTTTTTTCTTTTTTTTCAAACTATTTTTAAATCTAGTATAAAAATAAGCAAAAAATAAATTGATAGGTACAATATAATAAACAAAAAAGAGTTATGATTACTTGGCACTCAATGGACCGTACAACGAAGAAGTAAAAAATGATTAGAGATTAGGTAGAAACACTTTAAAATTTTCACAGCTTTCTTTTCAGTGTTCACCTTTTCACCTATTATTTAAAATGTAATTTTTTTTTCTTTGCTATTGAAAGTTGTTGAGTAATTGTCTAAAAATTTTAATAAGTTATTGTTTACAAATAATTTCAGAAAAGATCTTCAATTTTTTATCTCTACATCGTTTGTTGCTGTCATTGTTGTTTTCGTTTAACTTAGTAAAGACAAGTTTTCTACAATAACTATACTAATTTGACTAGAAAAATAACAATGAAAATCTTAAAGTTTTAGATTTTGTAAAAGTTTACCTTAGTGCTTTAAAATTGCTTAAATTTATAGTACAATCATAAGGTTTTGTTTGGCATTTAGATAGTATTAAAATTTTTTTTTTAGTTTACTTGATTTCTGAGCAACTAATAGGTTACCTTCTGTGTAAAATAAAACATTTTTGGAATTATAACTGTCTGAATGCGATATCTGTAATAAAAATTTATCACTTATTTACAGGTCAATTTTAGTTCATATTTACGTTTAATGCTTGTCAGCATTTTTGTTACTGTTATTCTTATCTAAGAAAAACCCTTTTGGAAAATCTTCTCTTCTGACATTGTATGCATTGGTGAACAGTAGTAATTGCAAAAATACTGAAAAAGAAAGAAAATAATCGGTAACTGTTAAGAATAAATCAGTTTTGGTTGAAAACAGGTTTAGAGTCTAGTTAAAGAGCAATAAAATTATTGTCTGCAATTAACCTTACATTCTAAGAATACCGGCTTGTTTTATCAGTATCGTCAACTGAGTGTATCAATGATTTTAAAAGAATTTGCACACTGATTGACTGCTAACTGAAAAGAAAGACTGTAGTAAAACTGAAGCATAAAATAGAGTTTTAAAGTGTTTCAAAAGAATATTTTTTAGAATAATAGTCAATGAACTGAATTCATATTGCTGTTAACAGAAATGATTTACTGTAGAATTTATTTGAGCTTTAACAGCTGGAATTTCTCCATATAAATAATCTTATAAAAACTGAATTTAAAAATTATTGTATCGAAAAACAATGTCATATTTGATCATAACAAAACTTATTGATACGTGTAATTTCTTTTCATTTAAAGTAGCGGGTAAACCATTATTCATTTAATTTTTCTCTTTTTTTTGTTCATCTTTCTTAACCTCAATTTCTTTTTACTAGTAAAACAAATCAATATATATACTTTGTAAAAAGTTTGAAAAAATTATTTTAAACTGCTTTTTTTTATATTTATTTTTACTGTTCTTACTGCTTTGCAGTTTACATTTAAGTTCAGTCATAAAAAACTAATTTAGTTTGATGTTAATAGAATAATTATTGCATTTTTCTTTTCTTTCGCATGATTAAAGTCGACAGAATAATCAGGCAATTTATTGATAATATAATTTTGTAGTGAAGCCAAAAGTTTTGAGAATAATTTAAACAAAAATTGTTTCTACGTCAATATCTGTTTCGTTGACTTTGCTTTGGCGTTGTTTTGAACGGGTTCATTTACAGCTGCTGATAAAGTTGTTTGCACACCTCCAATTTGATGACCAATTTGTCAGCCAGTTTTCTTCAGTTATTCTTTCTTCATTCTGTAAATTCAATTGTCTAAGCATTTTTAATCGTCTTTTTTTTCTTTTTTTTGCTTTTCTTTTTACAGTCAATAAATACATCTTTTGTTGGTTTTGTTATTCTGTTTTTCATAGGTTACTCTTTGCTGATTACGCCACTGTTAATAAGTTGTCTATAGAACTGAAAAACTGTTCATAGATTTTGACATTTATTATACATACTTATTTATTACTTTCGCAATATTATTTTTTTTTATAGTGCTTATTTTTCTGCTGTTTATCAATTTTGTAGCTCTAATTATTCAAAACTTATGCTTAATCGTTTTCTAAGTTGCATTCTTCTGCTGTTTCTATTTATTCGTTTAAAAAATTAGTAAATTTAGTGAGTCACCTTCTTCTAAATCAAAGACAGATATGGTAAATTTTACAAAAATTTAATAAAATCAACTGAAGACTTATTGAGAAAAATGTATTTGTGCCATTTAAAATTAAAAGCTATTCGACATAAGTTTTGACAGAAAACTCAAAGATGAACTGTTTTTTGACTGGATTTTAACGATTAATGACAATTATTTACTGTTGAAAGTTGTCATTTTGATCTAACAAAAAAAAAAACCTTTCAAATAGTTGGACAAAGAAAGAGATGTATTCAATCCAATTATCTATGAAAAAGTGGAAAAGCAAAAATGGATGCGCGTAGGTATCATCGCAAGTGTTGGACAGAACCCGGAATTTTGGTTGTCCCATCACCACTGATTTTGCAAAATATAAAATTGTCCGGTTTTTTTCTATTCTATCACCAAATGATGTAACTTGAAAATTAGTAAAAAAAATTGAACAGACTGAATGAAAGAACTGTACTGCTTATGGATAAAATATATTTATACGAAATCAACGCTTATTTTTTCAGCTGATTCTCCATCGACTAAAACAGTGAACTTCTTTTGAATATTTAAAAATTTCAAATTGTATGGTACTGTAAAATATAGTTTAATCAACGAAAAAACTTTTAAAACTTATATGTTTTGATTTGTTGTCCTGATGACAAAAATTGTAGAAGCTGAATAGCGGCGGTTACTTAAATTGTCTGGTCACTTTTGAACAGATCTGATGGCGTACTTTGTATTTTTATCCTTAACAACAAAAGAAATTATTAATATTGCTAATTCTTCGGCTGACAATGCTACATTTTATTTGATAGTAACAATTCCATGATAATGGGAATATAACACTGCGAACGTTAATTATTTTGGGCTACTTGTACAGGTGAATTCTACAAGAAATGTTTTATTCGATATCAAGTGAAGATGTTTGCAGATCAAGATGTTTGTTGTTTCCCCATTAATGTTGTTGTTGTCGTTGCTGTTACTATTATCATTACTGTTGTTGTTGTTGTTGTTGTCAATGACGATCATGACAGTGGCGGTAATGATGGTGGTGGTGGTGATGATGATGATGATGATGATGATGACAACAATGCTGATTTTGGATGACAAAAGATGAGGATATCTTTGATGAAGTTGTAGCTGACGACAGCA